ATTTTTAAAATAAAAGATCTACCTTTCTAGCTATTCCCCCTGGGTACCATTTAAAGCACTGAACTGAAGTTGCACTAAGCAAATATGACAAGATATAGTGTTCTGTAATGAAGGACAGACTTTTTAGCGTTTCAGTTACTCTTTTTGAGGGCTGTATACAGTGTTACTCTGGGTTATTTACCCACCCACGTCATCATGTCACCAGCTGTCAGTGCTATTGTGCACTCAAAATGACATTTTAAAATTCAGAAGAGGAAATGCAGCAAGAACTCTCAATTTAAATTTACCAGATAACATGGGTGAATTCTGAACCATTGCTGAGAACACTGCAATTGTATAGCTATGTCCTATATCTCACATGCCTTGTGTACATTATGGATACCAGAAAATGTAAGAACAAGAGAATGGTTCTAACTCTGCTCATTATAAAGGTTATGAACAAGCATGCATACCTACATCTGCTATTTGGGAAGTGAGAATTATTTGCTCTTCTGCATGTTTGTTACAAAAAAAAATTAGTTCAGAATACTGTGTATGTATTAGAACTTTAACTTAAAAAAAATACAATTCATGAAAACATTTTTAGCTCTTGAAAAATTTAGCCATATCCTACCTTCTTTAATATGTATTTCTGTTTCAGAAAAAGTGCAATCAACTAGTTTAAAAGACCATTAACCCTTTTCTCCAGGAGGTAATAGTCACATTCATATGTAGTGTCCAATCCAAAATCAATGTTCTGGAAACTTAGTTGCAAGCAAACTATGAATTCAACAAACCCTGGCTTATTATAGGCAAGTATTTTCTTGGGCACAGAAAAGAGAGATATGAGAGTGCTCACTTCTAAAGCTTGAATGCACAGGCCTTCAGCTGATAATCAAAAATATATAGTGGGTCATAGCCAGGAGCAGCAAAACTATATCCAGTTAGTCTAAATCCAAAGGGTATCACAAAAATATCCAGGTTGTCTCAAAAACATGTGACAGGTCAGATTTTGACTTCTATATGCTTTCTTGAAACAGACAGGTATGGCAGAAAGTGGTACTAATTAACATGTTTTTGTCAATCTTCTATACTGGAGCAGTTTCTTTTCATACAATTGTAGCTATATTATTTTGTTTTCTTGCAACAATAGGAATTCTTTGGTAAAGAAAGTAAACTGCTTTCAAAAACTGAGAAAATTTCAAAAATAGTTTGGGTCTAATTCTAAAAATGTATGCTGAATGTTGGAATTGTTTATCTAGACTTTTGTCATAATTATGCAACTTTACATAGTATGCAATATTTTAGATAAGCTGCTTTTAAATTTAGAAATATATATATAAAAATTTCAGTTCAAGTCAGTCACGGGCATACAAATATATAGTTTATAACCAACTAAGCTGTATTCTACTTAAATCTTAACACATCTTAACAGATCACACATATAGAAGTTTATCCAACATAATGTGCATTACTTTTCATGAAGAAAAGTTTTAAACATTATAAATATTTTATTACCAGTATTTACTGTATTCTAAATTGTATGGGTAAACAGGGAACAATACATACAATGCTCACGTTAAAATGCTCTGGGAGATAAAGCCATTAACACATTTTACCTTCAAAAGTAAAGAAAGTATTTGAATGAGAGAATTTGTTATACAGTAATAGAAAACAATTCATATGTAATCAATGAGGCATATCTTTTTAACCCAAAATAATCTTTTTAACCCAAAATAATCTTTTTAAAACATAGGAAGACTATGTAACATTGGTAGTTCTGTGAGGTCCCAAGGATAGCTGGCATGCATAATTACAACTGCAACTTTCAAATTGCTAAAATCCTACCAATTACAACAGTCACATGTCTAAATCTAATCTTGAGATAAAAAAGTAAAAAGTTCAGCTTAATTCTTGATGATTGCATCCATGCCGTTTTTCTTGGCAGAATTGCATAGATGGTTTTCCTAGGCGTCTGTTTTTTTTTTCAAAATCCCAGATGAACCGAGAGCCTGGGATTGTGGTCCATTATAGAAATGCTAACCAGACCAACTCTGCTCACCTTCCAAGTTTACCTACTAAGGTACAAAAATCCTCCGAGAAATCCTCAAATTAACAATCCTGTACAGCCCTGTAAGTGATGATGGAGTCCAAATCCAAGCATGGATATACTGTAAGTAAAAGAGACTCAAAATCTATTTTCACATGTAAATTGTAATTTATTATTACAATATTCATGATATGGACTCTTATTACAACAGTGGCATTTGTTTGCGCATCTATCTCTGCTTACAGAAAAATTGTGTCATTACCCTCAATTTCTCCTTCCTCTTGGGGTTCTCCATACTACATGCCACCACCATTTCTCTGTTGAATCCTCTGATTGTCCAGAATAGTTTTTAGAAGGCAGGGAACAATGGATGAAAGTCATTTTATTTTGCTGTTAGGCCATTAACAAGCAGAAATGCATCAGAATTTCATGATTTTCCAAAGGACTTCTATTCGGCTTTTAGTCTAAAAAATATCTTCAACACGCTATAAGCAGGATTTTCCTCCCATGTTATCCAAGACTTGTTTCTACAGTTGTTCAATTGTATTTCAGATACTTCCATACATTAATAATATTCTATATGAAAGAAAATACTGCAGATAGCACCCCTAAGGTGTTTATGCTCATGGAAAGACTTATTTTAGTGGATGCCTCAACTAACTGAAGCTGGAAGAGACCATTCTCTTATTGTCTGAAAACCCCCCAAATCTGTCCTCAAACGTTTGAGAAACTTCAGACCAGCATGAGACATAGCATGGATGGAAACACTCAACAAAATTCTTTACTTTTCTTTGAAAAGATTTAATGCTTTGCAGTAAGTGGAATGACAGTACAGTATCCATTCAATCAGAGGCTCCAGGCAACCAGTATTCAGTCTTCCATGTTTAGATACAAGTTGCCTCTAGATTTCTGCCCTCCTGGACAAATTGGACTAGCTTCACATCTTGGACAATACACCTTAGAAAAAGGTGTCAGTCATGATGAGAGAGATTACTTTAATGATGCTGTCATTACTTAACCAAAGGAGGCTGATAGTTACCAATTTTCTTGCTTATTTTAAAAATATGTTGACTTATTTATCACAAAGCTGCACTATCAAAATAGATCCCCACAGGAGACAAAAAACAACTAAGTTGAGGCTTTTACCCTAGTATTTGTCTTGCATGATTGATTGCAGAGTCTACTTATTATTTGTGTCACTTTGTTCTTAGAAGAAAGCTATCAGTACATGATGCAACAAGATCTTATGCAGAGTGGTGTGCTGATTAGGACTGAACTGGAAGTGACTGGACCAAGGATACACATCTGGCTTTCATGCCTAAGAGAGGACTTGGGTTTCCTCACTCCTAGTCTAGCACCTTAACCATTACACCATGCTGCATTGCAAGAACAAAGTAACAGTTAATATATTAAATTCAGCATGTGTCTCTTTTCCTAATTTTCTGACTAAGAAAAACTTCAATAATTATGAATCTCTTATTGTGTTAAAGAATGAGGCTCAGGAGAAGTGTTCCAATTGCATAGTGTTAAAAATGTATCTTTAAATAGTATTCACTGAGAAACACCTGGAAGAAAGTGCAAAATGCAAATACTTGCTATAAAATTTAAAAAGAAAAGCTTTGCTTTGGCTAATACACTATACTCTTGATTAGTTGCACAATCAATGTCCCAAAGTAAATACCTAACCTAATAGCACAGTCCTAAAAATTCAGTGAAATATCTGTATCCTAAGCTACCTTGTATTAAAGCAGAAAGTCTATAATTGAAAATATGGAGAGATATAAACTCAGCTTACAGTATGAAGTCAAAAGGAATAGTTTTACATCTAGCTCCACTGCCAAAGAATACCTTCACCTGTAAAGTTTGCTTATGCATTAAGATTGTCAGAAGTGCATTGATAGTTCTGAATATCAGAAATACATTATGCATTTGCAAAACAGCAAGCCTTCTCTGTGGTGGCACTTTTACTTTGGAAAGTCTTCACAAGAGAGAGATGTTTTGCTTTCCTTTCAGCATCATATATGAACACTCCTTTTTGCTGAGGCATTTTACATTTACATTAAAAAATACACAAGTATTCATTAGATTACTTGTTGGCTGAATAGTTCTGATAATTTTTTCTTACAATTTTATTACTGCTGTAGATCATATTTTAAAATATGCAAAACTATAAGACCGATTTATAAATTTAAAAATGACAGTAAGTAATCTGTCTAACACTAATAAAATCAACATTGCTATTTGGTATAATTTATCTGTTTTGAAACCAGTGGATAGCAGTTGTATAAACATCCATGAGCATCTTTCTCAACTACTGTTGATATGGGTAAGTCAATAACATGATTGAAATTGTCATTCCTATAATGATGAGAAAGATTAATCTTGATTACAAGAGTGAAAAAGATGGTGTATTCCATAGCTGGATCCAATGGTGTGATTATGTTCTATTGCTGATATTCTTCTATTGACACTTTGGGGCAGATCTGGTATCTCACTTTGAGGTGATAGAGCAGAAGTGACAGTCCTGTTGCAGCGGCATAAATGAGTACACAAAAATGGTTTGAGAATAACATCTGCTAACTAATTATGGAGGATTTTGTTTATAAAATTATGTGAAATTTTCCAGTACCTGATGGATCACAATATATAATAATATATCACAAATAAAAAGATCTTGCTTCTTAATAAAAGTGACCAAATATAAGTTCTGTTTGGAAAATTAAAGTCAGGGTCAAACTTTGAGGTGAAGGAGGACACTGCAATGTTTTGTTGCAGCAAACGTGCAAGTACTCTTCTACAATGAGACAAATAATATATCAAAAACATATGCTTACTTTTCTGCACTTACTATACATTCAATTTCTGGAATTGTAATTCTGTAATTCCTCAAATGGTTATTTTTCCAGGGAGGGGCAAGACTTAAATTTGTAATTTAAATTCAGAAAAGGTTACCGATAATCTGGATACTAACCTGTCCTAGACCAGGCATTCCTCCTCCAAGTCGTAGAAGTCGATCCATATTTCCTAAAGAAACAAACAGATAGCATACCTAGGTTCTAATGTGTTTACCAAACTGTTCTCCATAAAATTCACCTTCAGTCACTCATTATGTCAAAAATATTGGTCGTAATTACAACACAACATCAGACTTCCTGTTAATTAACACCACATATTAATTCAAGAAGCTGTCTTCCATACTAATTAACAACTGCACTTTAAGTGTACTGATTTTGGGTTATCCCCAGTTTTAAAAAAGATAAGCTTTTTTTGTTTAACTCCCTTTTTTATTGCAAAATTCATTTATTTCCTCCTCTGATCCCACCTACCCCCAAAAGCATCTGCACAGCAAACCAAAGAAAACTCAACACCAGCAGATTAATTTCCTTCAATTTATCCAGAACACATCAATATAAAAATAATTCAAAAGTGAAGATTTTTAACATCCTCATTAGTAAGTTCTGTGCTAATTAACTTACAGCTTGTCAGTTAGCATCAAAACTGCATGTGAAAGACACTGAACAGATTAGATTTCTGAATTAGCATCAAAAGCTTTTTTTAATGAACTCATTACACCAAAAGAACACCATAAAGTAAACATTAAATGCCTTTAGTTAAAATATTAAGGGCTACATAGTTGTTGCATATATCATTAAATATGAAATACTGTGGAAAGAAAATGAATCTCATTGCTGTTTGTTATATTGCTTTAATAGTAAAATATTTAACATGCAACATGGTAATATGACTAGAAACATTTTTAATACTATTAGCATGTCACCAAGTGCTGACTCCTGGATGAATAAAAACATCTAGTATTCCTCAACAAGACTGTGCAAATGATTTAAAGGAACATTTCATTCAACTTGTTTGAACAGCCCAAGTCTCCACCATTGTCCATATTGGCTAGAATTGCTTGGAGCAGTAGTTTACCAACATCTGGCTGGTCCTGGTGACCTGGACTGTGAGTTAGACTGAATACAGTATTCAAGAGGGCTGTCCCAAACCTTTAGGAGATGCTTCTGAAACAACAGGACAGAGGCTGCTCTGCATGCACATGCAAGCAGAGACAACTGGGAACAGCTTCCAAGGCAAAAGATGTAGCTGCTGCTATGAATCAATAAGTGCTTTTCATGAACTTTAATGCAGTAAGCAAGATGAGCTGAAGTTATAGGTTAATATCTATTTGTATCTGCATGCTGCTCTCTATATCTCTTGTCTTATCACATTATGTCTAACTGTAGCCAGACAAAAGTAAAAACTTAACAATACTAAAGGTTTCCCTAAAGATGAAAAAAACTATTTAGAATTATAATCATGCCCACAGGGCACAATCCAAAAGAATTCTCATTACTTTTAATTAAAGTTAATTATCTCAGATCATCAAGGATCTAATTAATACAATGTGAATATTTCAGTAAAGATCAATCAATAAAAATTTATTTTTATTCATAACACATCAGCTGAACTGAGACCGAACACACAAATAGTTCCACAGCCCATCTCAATATCCTTGATGCTAGAATGACATTTTTGAGCAATTTAAGTAGAACTATCATGAATATCTAAGGAAACAAGTTCATGTACTTAATTTTACATTGTACTCACCTGGTTTTCAGCTTTTTTTCTACAATGTTTTTCCAGTATTTAGTGGAGTCTCCAAGTTTAGATGCAAAGTGAAGCTCTACTAAACACAAGTAACAATCAAGATATCTGTTAAAAAACCTTTATATACTGAAACATCAATTCTAAGCAAACTTTTACAGTATAAGAATGTTCTATTAAAAAAAGACAACCCAACCTATATAGGTAGTCCTCGACTTACAACAGTTCACTTAGTGACTGTTTGAAGCAAAACGGCATCATAAGTGACTTATGATCATTTTTCACACTTATGACCGTTGCAGCATTCCCATGGTCACATGATTTACATTTGGATGCTTGACAACGGGTTCACATTTATGACAGTTGCAATGTCCCAAGATAATGTGATCACCTTTTGCAACCTTCTAACAAGCAAAGACAATGGGAAAGCCAGACTCATATAACAATGGTGTTATTAATTGAACAACTTCAGTGATTCCTTTAACAACAGAAATTTGTCCTGGGTTCATGTGACCACCATTTGTAAGCTTCCCAGCCGACTTCTGACAGCTAAGTTAATGGGGAAGCCAGATTCACTTAATGACATTTGTTTAACAACTGTGGCAAATGAACTGTAAAATGGGACAAAACTCACTTAACAACTGCCTTGTTTAGTAATAGAAATTTTGGGCTCAATTGTGCTGGTTAAGTTGAAGACTACCTGTACAAGTTTTCCCAAAAACAAAAAAACACCCCACCCCCCCTCCAAAAGAAAAATGGGGAGTGGGATTTCTATGATTACTTCTCCAATCTCTGTAAAATTAGAGAACTGGAAGCAAATATTGGAAATATTCTCCCTGCTTTCCCTGCTTGGGAGAAGGTGGGTAGGAAGCAGGTCTTTTGGTGCCAGTTCTCTTGAGTATAAAAAGATCTGCTTCCACCCAGAGGTTCAGCTGTACTGTAAGAGTGAACTTTTTTTTACTCTAAGACCTGAAAGGACACCCTAAGGAAAAGAAAGAATCTGTAAAAGTTTTGACAGAAGTGATTAAGCGGCGATTTTAAACAGGAATGTCAAAGTAATGTGTTTTTTCTCTCTCATTGCTGGATTTTCTATTTACGATCTTGTATTTTGAAACTGGACTGGTTTTTTCGTTCATATCTATTTTTTTCTTCTCCTTTTTGATTTTGTAATATTTTAGGCTAGAGGCTCCCTTTAGTTAATTCTTTTTTTAAAAAAATATCTTTTTTTAAAAAATTAATTCTCATTATATCCTGCTCGGAAAAGGAGGGGGAAAGGTGAGAGCAAAGAAACTTTATAACACTGCCAACTAGAGGCTTGAAAATATTCTATTTCCCTGTGACCAGACAAAGCTGAGAAAGAAAGAACTGAGACTCTTTTTCAAGGACATTGCTATTTGATAAGATAGAGAGAAGAGCATGAGAGAGTATTATTGCAGGTGCTCTTCTGGGTTTCTATCAACAGCTGGAGTCTGGTGTTGAAATGTAGGGGGGGAAAAGGTGATAAGTTTTTGGAGAAGAGAGCTATAATAAGAGCCTTGGATAATTAAATAAAGTGCAGTGTGCCCTTTTTACTTTTCCTAAGTTGTGCTATCCCTCCTCTCCAGCTTTATTGTATTTTTTTATCTTTTTTTTTTGTAATAACTATTTGGGTTTTTGGCTTTGTTGGAGCTTGTCTTTGTTTTTCTTTCTTTCTTTTTTTTGGAAGTCCAATCTCTACGTTTGCTTTTTATTTTAAAGGGAAAGCCTTAAAAGCCTTTTTTCCCCTTTCCTGGTATTTTTGTTTTTTCATCTACCCTTTTGGTTTATTCTTATGCACTTTTTTCTATTTGAGACCTTTCAATTGGATTAAGGTGTTGAAGAACCTGAAGAATTTTTCCTTTTTCTTTTTTTAAGCTCTTTTTCTTTATCCTACTATTGATTGGATTAAGGTATACAAGAACCTGAAGAAATTTTGTCCTCTCTTTTTTTTCCCTTTTTTATTATTATTATTGGGCTTTTTTTTTTTAGTATTTTTATTTTGAACTATAATTGGTTACTTCACAATTGGATTAAGGTTTAGAAGAACCTGAAGATTTTGAATTGCTTAAAATGAGTAGGAAATTCACAGCTCCTGGTTCTTCAACTTCTACTTCTTCCTCTCCACCATCTGGAGGACAACGTTCAATACAGACAATGTTAAAGCAAGAAAAAGAACAAGAAAAAGTGACTCTGCAGATGATTATGCAAGAAATTCAAAATATTCAAGCAAGATCAGAGAATATTGAAAAGAGAATAGAGAACATCGAACAAAGAACAGAGAACATTGAACAAAGAATAGGGAAAACTGATGAAAAAGTGGAGAACATCCAACAAATGATGTTGAAGTATGATGAGAGATTCCAAAAAATTGAAGAAGATAAACAAAGATACAAGAAGATTGGAGATATTGATAATAGATTAACGGTGGTTGAACAAGATAAAAGTGGTATGTTGAGATGGGAGATGGATAGATCAGAATTCTATCTTAAATTCCAAAATGTAGAGGAAGAAAAAGGACAAAACCTAGCCGAGATAATGATAGAAATACTGGCTGAAGCTTTGGAAATAACTCAAGAGAAGATGATGGATGGAATAGATGAGGTTTATCGAGTCTTCACAAGATATGCGATGAGAAATAGCTTACCAAGAGAAGTTCACATTAGATTTACAAAGAAAGCCATTAAAACGCAAATATTGCAAGTGGCAAAAGAGAAAACATTGAAATACAAAGACAAGGAGATTGTGGTCTTGAAACAAATACCCAGAAGAGTGAGAGAGATGAGAAGAGAATACCGATTCCTAACTAAAATGCTACTTTAAAAAGAGGTGAATTATAGATGGCTGATTCCAGAAGGTTTAATGTTCACATGGCAAGAACAGAGACACAGAATTGACTCAATTGAGAAAGCGGAATTATTTTATACAGAATTTTTTGGAAGGAAAGAGGAAGAGGCAGAAAAAGAGATCTCATTAATTGAATTCCAAGAGGACTGCCAAATGGCGACTGAAAAAGAAGAAGGCGCAGTAGGTGGAAAGGTGGAAGCCAAAGAACAATGTGAATTAAGATCTACGAGAGCTGCTAAACCTAACTATAAAATATAACCATGGAAGAGAAAAAAATGATTACAATTAATATAAATGGACTCAGCCATTAAAAGAAGGAAAACCTTTCATAAATTGGAGAAATTAAAATTTGATATAACTTGTCTACAAGAAGTACATATTAAAAAACAATATGAACAATTGTTGGTACAGCCAAAATTAGGGAAAATATTTACTTCCTTGACCCAATGTAAGAAAAGAGGAGTGGTTTTATATATTAAAGAGACCACCCCAGCAAAATTTACCTATACTGATGATGGTGGAAGAATACTAATGGTGGAAATAATGGACAATAATATGAAAACACTCCTGATTGCAATTTATGCTCCGAATGACAAACAAGAAGAATTCTACAAAAAACTACATATGAAAATAATTGAACTGGACTATGCTAATATAGTTATGATGGGAGATTTTAATGGAACTGTAGACAACAAATTGGACTATACAGCACAGAAAACAATGAAGCAAAACAGAAAGACTCTCCCCAAATCTTTTTTTAAAATGGTAGATGAAATAAACTTAAAAGATACATGGTGAGAAAGAAATGCTAAAACTAAACAATACATCTTCTATTCAAATAGACACTTATCATGGTCCAGAATAGATATGATATGGATGTCAACAGAATTAATATCTAACATTCAAGAAATAAATATTGAAACAAGTACTTGGGCAGATCACAATCCAATGACAATTAAATGGAAAGGACAAAAAAGAAGATCTAGATGGACGTTAAATAATACTATTTTAAAGGAAAAAGACTTCACACAGTGGACGGAGAAAGAATTGGCCTTTTTCTTTACAGAAAACAAAAAAGAAGATACATCAATTCAGAATGTATGGGATACAATGAAGGCATATGTTAGAGGCTTGATAATAGACTATACAAGGAAAAGGAATACTATGAAAAGGCTAGCCTCTAAGGCCCTAGAGGATGAGCATAAAAGACTTGAGAAAGAGCTACAGAAAATGCCACAGAAAAAGGACATCAAGCTAAAAATGGATATAATTAAACACAAAATGGGTCAAATAGAAAAAGAACAATTAGCACAGAAAATTAGAGGTGCTAAACAGAACTACTTTGAAGACGCAAACAAACCAGGTAGATGGTTAGCATACAAATTGAGAAAGGAGAAAGAATCAAGGAAAATATTGCAATTAATAGATGACCAAGGCCAAGTTTGCCATGGTAGCAAAGAGAAGAAGGAAATCATTTGAGACTTCTATGGGAAATAATATATGCAAGAGAATATTGAAGAAAGAGTCAAGCAGTACTTACAGAATGCTAATTTACCTCAGATACCTAAAGAGACTGAGAAAATGTTAGAAAGCAATATAACAATGATGGAGTTAACTGAAGCACTCAAGAAGCAAAATAATGGAAAGGCACCAGGCCCAGATAGACTTCCGGCAGAATTTTATAAATCATTACAAGAATCGTTGAATCTTCCATTGCTAGAAGTTATGAATTAAGTTATGTTAAAGAAGAAGATACCTAAATCATGGTCAGAAGCCTATATTACACTTATTCCTAAAGAGGAGGCTGACTCATTACAAATTAAGAACTATAGACCCATCTCTCTACTAAATGCAGATTACAAAATCTTTGCTTCAATATTGGCAGAAAGACTTAAAAAATATTTAAATAATTTTATCTATCCTGATCAAAATGGATTTCTGCCAATGAGACAAATTAAAAACAATATGAGAGTAATCTTGGACACCTTGGAATACTACGAGGCACATCCTGAAAAACAAATGGCTCTGATATTTCTAGTTGCACAGAAGGCATTTGATAATGTGAATTGGCGATTCATGTTATTACTGTTGGAACAGATGGGTTTTGCTAGAAAATTTATCCAAGCAATAGAAGCTATATACTATAAGCAAACGGCAAAGGTAATGATAGAGGGAGAGCTGACAGACTCTATTAATATAAGAAAAGGAACAAGATAAGGGTGCCCACTATCACCTTTGTTGTTTGTGTTAACTTTGGAAGTGTTAAACAGAAATATTAGAGATGAAAAGAATATAAAAGGAATGAAAATCAAAAAGGAAGAATTTAAGCTGCAAGCATTTGCGGATGATCTGGTTTTCATTTTAGAAGACCCTTTAGAAACAGCATCAAAACTGATAAAAAAGATAAGAGACATATGGAAAGGTGGCTGGTTTGAAAATAAATAAAGATAAGACAAAGATTTTGACAAAGAATATGCTATTAAGACAAAAGGAAGAACTGGCAGACCTATTGAAAATTCAAGTCACGAATAAGATCAAGTACTTGGGGATATATTTGACAACAAGATGTAGTACATTAAAAGAGAATAATTATATTAAACTTAAACAGCAGATAGCGCTAGATTTGGCGAAATGGGAAAACTTACAACTCTCACTAATAGGGAGAATCTCAACAATCAAGATGAATATATTACCCAGAATTTTATATTTGTTTCAAACAATTCCAATTAGGCTTGGAAAAGACTACTTTGTAGATTTAAATAAAACTGTGTTGAAATATATATGGCAATGTAAGAAAGCGAGAATAAAGTTAAAACTTTTGCAAGATGCTAGAATTAGAGGAGGATTTGGTTTGCCTAATTGGGAATTGTACTACCAAGCTACAAATCTGATGTGGGTTAAGGAATGGATAACATTAAGAAATGCTAGATTGTTGACATTAGAAGGACATGATTTGTTGTTGGGGTGGCATGCTTTTTTATGGTATAAAGGAACTAAAACACAGGGGTATTTTAGAAGACATTATATACGGGAGTCTCTGTGGTTAAACTGGGAGAAGATTAAAAGACAATGTTATTTGAAAATTCCAGTCTGGTTATCGACTATTGAAGCATTCTCGTATCCTATAATATACAAAAAGGAACAAACAGTTAGATATGGTGAAATACTGAATGAAAAGGGTGAACTTAAATCTATGCAAAAACTAGAGGAACAAGGTATAAAGATGAATTGGTTTTCATATGCGCAAATACATTCAAGGTATGATAAAGATTCTAAAACAGAAGGTTTCTATGATAAACTGACTGACTTAGATAAGATTTTGACAGGTACTGATGAAAAGGTGATTAAAAAATTGTATGGATATCTATTAGAAATTAAACTAGAAGAACAAGTTAAAGAAACTATGATTGCTTGGGGGAAGAATTTTGGATATGGGATTGATTTAGAGAAATGGCAAAAATTGTGGTCTCAAAATTATAAAATGACAATGTCAACAGCATATAAAGAAAATTTGTATAAGATGTTTTACAGGTGGCATTTCCCCCTGACAAGAATAGCAAGAATGTTCAAGAATAAATCCGAAAAATGTTGGAAATGTCATCAGACACCTGGCTCATATTACCATATGTGGTGGACTTGTGCGGATGCTAAAAAATACTGGACTAAAATCCACATGTGATTTGAAAAAATGACAAAAAAACATAAAGACTTGAAACCAGAGATATTTCTATTGGGAATTTTACCTGAAATATATAGTAAAGGCTTGAAATACCTGATTGTAAATGTATTAACAGCGGCTAGGATTGTATTTGCTAAAAACTGGAAAAATGAGAAAATACCATCACAGGAGGAAATCATTAAGAAAATATTGGAATGTGCTGAAATGAATAGATTGACATTTGAAATTAGAGAACAAGAGGATAAACAATTTTATAAAATTTGGGATCTTTTCTATCAATGGTTAGACAATAAAGTACAGTAATGAAATATGTAGATTTTTAGAAAATAATAAATATATAAAGATGTACTTCTTTCTTATTATAACTACAAAATGATTTTAGGATAGATTTGGGATGATAATATGAACTGTTATAAAATAAATTAAGTAACTAATGGTTATCTTGTAAAACATGAATGAATAAAAGCATAGTCAAATGACTGATTAATAATGATACTAAGGTATTTAATTTTTGATTGACAATATGAGATTATATGTAATGTAATTGTAATTGAAGACTACGAAATGGAAGCACAAAACAATTTGTAAACCAACCGGCACATTGTATGTACACCTATGGAAGATAGCTTGATGTTTTTATGTTTTGTTTGTTTTTAAAAACCAATAAAAAATTTTAAAAAATGTTTTTTGCAGGTCCTGCTTTCTTTTCTACCCCACTTTCACCAATAGGATAGTTAGTTTCAGGTTAAGAAAACAATATATGTTTTTCTCTTTTCTTCCTAATTAGTTTAATGCAATAAAATATCTTAAAATATTGCAGAAAGGCAGAATGCAGAAATATATGATGATGCTGAGGAAGATGTGCTATTTCATCTTGGAGTTAGGTCTCTTAATACATACTATGGATCAAGCTTAAATAAACTTTTTTTAAAAAAATCTCAGACTATCATAGAGCCTAAAAAAGAAAATAGTTTCAATTTGGCAAATAAAGTTAGAGTTGTTTATTTAAGAAATACATGCTATTCTATGTATTGAGAGGTGGAAAAGTCAATCAAACTGTCTCTATAATATAAGCTGAACTAACTGGGCAAGTTCCATTCTTATCCAAGTCAAGTTTATAAATTAAAATCAACATATTAAAACTACTAAGAGATTTGTTTTATGAATTACTGAGGACTGAGTTCCCAAACATGGAAGAACAGTTGCCAAAAGAAACACTAAGTGTAGCATTCTATCCTCCATTTAATTACCAGATATAAATGGATATAGTGCTCAATACACTGGCTTAATGTTCTGTTTGAAGCCAGACAGATGTGTTCACCCAGGAAACTAGGCTAAAAACAAAGCAGGGCTTCATGAGACATAAAATAAATGAATGTGTATTTAGACTGATGGGTTTTTTACTTTGCATGTTATCTGAATTCCATTAATAATAAATGTTTGGTAAATTTGGGGTGAATATATATGATTTTACAATTCATCTCAACAGCCAAGATAACTGTAGACCAGCATCTACGGTATTCTAAATAGTGGATGATTATCAAGTTTCTGTAACTATTTGTTACAGAATGCCTGCATTTCTAAATCCTGAATGACATTTAATATTTTTACATGACATAGCTTTGCTGGCTTAGGAACTCTGGGAGTTGAAGTCCACAAGTCTTAAAGTTGCCAAGGTTGGAGACCCCTGACATAGATAATGCTGTTGAATTGTCAAAAATTAATAACTGATGAATATGAGCACCAAGAACTGTCCACAACAGGACTTCCTAATTACCTTGAGCATTTTACATTATACATTCCTAGTTTTCATTCTTCATCCAGTTAAAATATCCCAATTAACTAACACTTACTATGAAGGCATCCCTGTGTCAGACTTTATGAGGCAGATAAGAATGTATAACAAATTATCACCAAGCATTTTTTTAATCTTCCGAGTGAGCTATTTATTTGAAACAGAGAACTAGTGATAGATTTTGGTGCCCAAATTTTGCTCTACTTCCCCCCTCTTTAATTTTTAAATTTTGCTTGTTTGTTCAGAAACAAAATAAAACACATGCTTGTTACAAAAATGCAAATAAAAAACACTGAGGTAATTCACTTCATTTGCTACCTTGAAATCAGAGGACTTTATACAGATATATAAATAGAAACACATTTTTGTGCAAATCTGAGTAATAGAAAAATTACTTTTTTTACCTGTCCTAAATCACTGAGATGGGACAAACTTCACACAATGTACTCCAACAATAGCTGAAAGATAAATACAATATATAATTGAATATATCTTAAAACAAAGTCAATTGAGTTTTAAAGTACAAGTATACCTTACTTAACAACAGCAATTGGACTTATGTTTCCATTGCTAAGCAATGTGGTTGTAAAGCATAATGTCAAATGACTATGTTGCTTAGCAACAGCAATCCCAGCAGTCTGTATTGCCATCCTTAACCAAAACTCATCAATGAGAACCACCTGACAATTTCTAGCTGGCTTCCAACAAGCACAGTCAATGGGGAAGCTGGCAGGAAATCTCAAGTCCTGGGCAGCTTGCAAGCAAGCTTGTGGGTGGGTGACTGCAGTGTCATAGCACAAACGCAGCCAGAATGTAATGGTTGATGCTGGGTGAGGGTGGGTGGCTGCTGCAGGCACACACTATGGAATATAAGATCCCCGGGATCTCATACTCCGTAGCTGGGATCCTTGAGAGAAAAGGTGGTGGTGGTGCAATTGACTTTGATTGTGGGAAGTTGGCAGAGAAGGTCAAAACCAGTAATCATGACTGCAGGACACTGCAACCATCATAACTTCAAGCTGGTTGCTGAATGGCAATCATGTGATAGCAGTGGTGCTAGCACAGCTGAAACTTTGGGGACCGGTCATAAATACAACTTGTTCAGAGCTGTTTGAACTTTGAATGGTCACTGAAGAAGTAACAGTTAACCAAAGATTACCTATATGAATACAGGGCAAGATATTATAGGCAAAAAGATAGTAAACAGAAATGCTTTATTTTTGAATCCTTCAGATCTATCTGTACATCTACAGAACTACATCTGCATTCTTGCATTCAAATCTACTTTTTACAGCAGAAATACAGAAAAAATGAACAGAAATTATAATAATGGAGTTAAATAATGTTGTCACAGCAACAAAAGCAAAAGGCATCCAACAGCTTTCTTGGCAAGAATAACTTCTGAGAAATAACTAGTGAAAATATTTTATGCTAAAATATGCTAAATGAACTACAGGTAGTCCTTGTGTTAAGACCATTTGTTCAAAGTTATGGAAGCACTGAACAAATGATACTTATGCCCAGTTCCTGAAATTATGCCCACTGCAACACCCCCAAGGTCATGTGATCAAAATTCAGGCACTTGGCAGTCCACCCAAACTTACAACAGCAGAGGTGCTGTAACTCCTACCTACCCATCTTCTCCCCCATCTCTGCAATTTTGGCCCATGCATTCTGCAGTCCTTTAACACCTTGCACTTTGTCACCCGCAGCTGACCTTTGGCATCTTCTTGTTCCTCCTGCTGACCAAGCATGCCCAGTCTGATCCTTCCAGGAGACAAGCCCTGGCTGGGCAAGGCTTTCTTCTTGAGCTTAGTAGCAGCAGCTTCCTCATAAGAGGTGAGGAAAAAGGCCTTGTGTGGTTGATTCACAAAGGATCAGGATGGGTATGCCTTATAGCAGCAGGAGCAAGAAGAGTGCAAAGATCACTTGGACAGCGAAGCACACAGGATGGCAGGGCCTCAGAGTGCAGGGTGGCTGTGTGTTTATGCTGCAGGGCTGGGGCAGCTGGGGCTTCCTGGGGGATTGGACCTTCCCAGGGCAGTGCTGCAGTGCTGGGTTCAACTGGGGCTTCTCTGGGCTGCACTGTGGCTTAGAGGTTTCTTGCAAGGCAGGGTGAAGGGTAGCCAAGAGGGCAGAGATGGGGGAGGCGGAGAATAAGCACTTGGGTGAGTTGAGGGGGAGGCAACTCCCTACCTTGGCTTGGGAAATGGAGGTTTGGGTCTGGGAGGACCAAGCCTGGAACAGTTCAGATCAGGGTTGATCTTCAGGTAACAACTGATGGGATTCAGTTAACAACAGCAATGGGAACTGCCCAGATTGCCATTGCTAAGCAATAGTCACATGATTTATGACTGCAACACTTAATGACAGAAATTAGAGTCCTGTTGTAACTCAAGGATTATATGTATATTAGACCTATAGAAGCTGGAAACAAATGTGAGGAGTTAACTTTGGTTTTTTCTATGCCAGCCTTCGATTTCCTCAACATATTTACAAAAGAAATTATTTTTAAAATTCGCATAACACCCAATCCCCAACAACTCTGGGTGGGTTCACAAGAAAACAAGGAATAAATCAATTATAATAAACAAGAACAAGGAATAAAAAACTGGACAGGAATGGAAAAAAAAATCCACACCACCTAATGGGAGTCTTTAATCACCTCACCAAAGCCTGGATGAAGAGCTAGGAAAGGCCACTCAAAATTCCTGCTGGGTGAGGCCATCTGGACCTTGTGGGGGAACCTAATTTCAAAGAGCAGGTGCCAGGCAGAAAAGCTGTCTTCCAGGAACCCAACTGATGGTATTAATTGAAGGAACCCAAAATGGGCTGATCGGGCTGGATCAAACTGGCTAGGCCTTATGCAAGGTGTTGTTTATAGGTAATGACCAGCACCTTAAATTTCACCTGGAAACAAACTGGCAACCAGTGCAGCTCACAAAGTATACCCATTTAATGTATAATGTATGAAGAAATGTATATAGAACAGGTGTCCAACTCGATAGTATCACGTGGTGTATCACGATGTATCATGACTTTGCCTTTGTGGAGCTAGGGTAGGCGTGGCCTGCCCGTAACACATCTGGCCTGTGGGCTGCCACTTTAACACCCCAGGTATATAGTATACGTATACAGCATATCTATATGTGTGTTATGTACGTGTACGCTTTTGAGAGTAGGCAGCAGAATTTTATTTTTAATGTGTATCAGTGTGCCCATAGGAAAAAAAATGACAATAAAAGTTATCGAAGTATTCCCATGCCACTGTATTCTGGACCAGTTCAAGCTTCCAGTCAAGCTATGAAGTGACTAAGCGGCGAGAGTCTGTTGGGTCTCCAGATCCAGGAGGAGGTGCAGCTGTCCCATCTGATGAAATAGCACAAAAGTCTTCCTGGCCAAAGCTACCATCTACTGATCAAGCAGGAGCTATGCCTTTCAAAAACCCTTAGGTTTTTGTTTCAGGTTTCTAAAATTCCTATGAGAAATATACAGAATGGGCCAAGCGAAGCACACTGGAGCTGCTCAGCATCGGAAGAGTCGCTCCGAACTCTCATAATCCAAATAAGCCCATTTTTCGGCTACAAGACCAGAGCAGCTGCCGGGTTGTTGTTGTTTTAACAGGGGGCCCATCACTCCAACTTCAAAGGGATTACAGGAAGTTTCCCAAACTCAAAACAATCATGTTGAGGCTGGGAGGGCTCAAAGGAAATATAAGCTCTCAACGAATTCAGGAAAGTTCACTCGAATTCAGGAAAGCTCGCTGGTAGTTTAGGACAGGCATCCCAAAGGTGCTTTTTCAAGAAGCAACTGGACTTTTCTGTTTGTTTGTTTTAAGACGTTTTGCTTCTCATCCAAGCAGCTTCTTCAGATTCTTCTCTAGAGCTGAAGAAGCTTCAGTGGATGTGAAGCGAAACGTCTTCAAAAAACAAACAAAAGTCCAGTTGCCTCTTGAAAAAAAAGCACCTTTGGGACAACCATGACCTGGATGACTGAGGATCTCCACAGACATTTAGGGCAGACAAGAGCAACCTCAGCCTGCGAAATTTCCTATGCCTCTTTTCTCAGCCGCCTCAGGACGAAGATCCAGCTTGAGCTCCCTCAGGACCGAAGTGTCCCCCCACAGCGGGTCAAGATAAGACGCCTTTCGAGGCATGAGCTCCGTCCGGCTGAACTTTTATTTCTCCTCACCACCTCCGTGAAGTTCCCTCCTTCCTCTTTCCACCGAGGGCCTCTCGCTCTTGGGATTAAAAAAAGGAGACTCGAAGGGAGCTGAAAGGCGCCGTCTCCTCAGCAAGTATTACTCCCTTACAACGGGGAGAGGAGGAGGAGATGACCAACGGCCGCTCGCCTGGAAACAGCCCCCTACGCGCTCCTTCACAAGCCGGACCGGCTCCCTCTTCTCCCACCAGCAGAACCCGACGGTCGCGCTCTCACCCGCAGTCAGCGCCTGCGTAGCTCGCACGCGGCCTACCTGTCTGTCTCCGTTGTGTGGTTGCTGGAATCCCACTTCGCCTCGCCCCGCCCGACACCTTCCGCTCAGCCGGGCCGCGATGAATCAGCCCGATTCATTCAAACCCGGTGTAGCGTCCCAAGCACCCCACTCCCTAGAAACACTTCCGGGGCCAAAGAGCGGCACCCGCTCCTACTTACAGGCCCCGTCTTCCGTTGCTGCATTGGCAGCCAATCGTATAAGTCAAACTGCGAATCCTAGCAACGAGTTGTCCCGCCCCGTCACTGTGTTCTGCCCGTCTCAAGGCGCACGTTGGAGTTGCTTCTGCACCCTGAGGAGGCGGGTAGCTTTGGACTTACTATTGTCTATGTCCTTTGGTTGTAGGTAGACAGCAGGTCCCCCACCCCCACTGGATATTAAAGAAGATAATATCGCTGGAATGCTGCATAAGCAGCAATTTGCAAAGATCAATTCTGGTGATTTATACACAGTGCCTTTTCCCCCCTTTCCAAGAATGCTGCCCTTGAAAATTGCTATCGTCAGTACAGTAAATTCTCGACTTACAACAGTTCATGTAGTGACCAAAGTTACAAAGGCACCGAAAAAAGTAACCTATGACCATTTTTCAAAGTTACAAAATTTGTAGCCTCCCAAGGATCATGTGATTAAAATTCAGATGCTTGGCAACTGGTTCTTATGGCAGTTGCTGCGTCCCAAGGTTATGTGATCACCTTTTGCAGCCTTTCGACAAGCAAAGTCAACAGTGATGCCAGATTCACTTAACAATGATTTACTAACTCATCAGTGGCAGTGATTCACTTAACAGCTGTGGCAAGAAAGATCGTAAAATGGGGCAAAGCTCACTTAACAAATGTTCCACTTAATCACAGAAATTTTGCCCTTAATTGTGGATGTAAGTCGAGGACTACCTGTATAGAAAACTGGTGGAGGTGAAATGGCTCTTAGGGAACATCACAGGCTGGATACTTTTATGATTAATACAGTTTTTTTTAATTTTCACTGCACAGGGCAGAAAGCAAGATCTCAAGGAATTACACCTAACAAAAAGGGGCATGTGAGTGCCCCTCAGCCTTCCTCAAACTGGTCCATTGGCTGAGAGTTCTGCCATTTGGGGGCAAACATGGCCTGTGGCACTTGCAGCTGAGGACATCCAAACAGGTGGTGGAAAACTGGTCCACAACACAGTACAACACAAAACACATCATGTAAGAACATCTTTGAATTATCTTTCATCTTCTTGTTAGACTATTTTTTTAAGTGGACCATAAATTATGTGCCTAGAGCGTATTTAGAATGTCACTGATGAGAATTAAATTACCTTGGAAATCTAGCTTCACTCTCTGGCACTTACAGCAAGGTGCCTGAAGATTCCACCTTTTCATAACAAAAGGTCTGTTCTGTGTTTATGCTGTATGGATTGGATTGACTGGGAACTGAGCCAATTCCCTCTTCTTTCTGTTGAAAAGACAGTTTGTGACTACTGCAATGGTATTATGAGATTCCAGTGTTTTACCCAGATAATCATCTTGATATCACAGCCTCTTGCTGGTGCAAGAATCTACACCCCACATTCACTTGCCAGACAAGGGGCTTCTTATCAATGGATGGAGCAATTCCAAGGCAGAAACTGATTTGCGTACCAAGCTGCTGCTTCCTTTGAGGTAAAGAAACATCTATAGACCTACCAGAAGCTATGGATCCGAGTTAATGTTTTCAAATATTTATGCCTCACATTTTCCTCAGCGTTTACATAATTATTCACATTCTCTGCCACCATGTTTATTGGCATTAGGGAGGGTATATGAAATATTTACAAAAATAATGCATTCCATCTTCTACATATATAGCAATTCTTTATGAATTCACTCAACTGTACATTTCAGTGTGTTCGTTCTGATGAATTCCAGTTAAGTCTGCTTGCATAGAATTATAACATTAGTCATATACTTAATCTTGTATGATGGTAAAATTCATAAAGTGTAACACTTATGTAACATGGGATAATACTAAATCCTCAAATATCTATGCTAAAAACCCTATTACACCAAAGTAGAGAAATATTTCCCATATTCTCAAATAAGCAGATTCACATCTAAAACATTCAACAGTTATTTTCATTTTCATTTGATTTCATCTGATTTTTTTTTTTAAAAAAAGCTAATTATAAAAAGAAAGAGCTGTGGTCGCAAAAGTGGTTAGAATACAGTACTGCAGGCTACTTCTGCTGGCTGCCTGCAATTTGGCAATTCGAATCTCACCAGGCTCAAGGTTGACTCAGCCTTCCATCCGTCTGAGGTTGGTAAAATGAGGAGCCAGATTGTTGGGGGGCAATATACTGACTATAAACTGCTTAGAGAGGGCTGCAAAAGCACTGTGAAGCGGTATATAAGTCTAAGTGGTATTACTATTATTGTATCAGAGTTTTAAACTCTGAATTAATTAGAGCTTATTAGCTCTGGCTTGCAAAGATCCAGTGGCCTCTGGATAGCTACAAATTTAGAAGTTCCATTACTATATCTCTTTCCTACCATCTACTGTAATAGTTGTCCAAACTTAATTCATAACTGTGGTATGGAACCTTAAATAATAGAGTTGAAAGGGAATCTTTAGTTCAGGCTTGCACAACTTGTCGAAGGAAAAAGAGCCACCATGGTAAAAAGAATTGTGCGTCACAATGGAATACTGACGTTGATCAGCTGTTTGGTGACTAGAACTCCAGAGGCAGCATTAGAGTGGGGTTTTGGTGATGCATTGTATCTGCTCAGCAGTATATATTTTGGAGTAGTGAAGACAGATCCTTCTACAATAGCAATGCGACATTCGGCAGTGGTGAGTATTGAAGTTTTGAAAAATGCCAATGAAGCACACAAGGTTGCTTGATAGTCTGTGATCCATAC